TTGGGACCGTGCTACAGCGTGCATATAGGGAGGGTGTGCACTTATGGAGGGTGCACTTATGGAGGTGCGACTGTATATGTAATACAGCAATAAGGAGTGATAAATATTCTGTTAACCAATAGTAAGGCATAACCGGGTATTTAGTGTTCGTATTGTCATAATTGTTTCCGGAAATAAGAACAATAGTATCAGTGGAGAAACATTTTATTGATTAGCAAATCGATAAGCCACGCCTACAACTTAATTAAACTGATCACGATAATAACGATAACAACATTGCTATACAGTATGATATCAATGCCCTGTAATATAGCCAGTGGCATTACGATATTCTGGATAGAATAGAATAAAATGGTCGTCAGTTGTGCACATAGAACATGCGGAGTTAACAGTATTGACTTAGTAATATTACCAAAAGTTTATGTTCTCCGCCTAATAAAGTCCTCAAACGTAAAAATAGTTGACAATATGTGAAATCACGTTACATAAACTTGACCTTTTCCCGAATAGTAACTGTGGCTGATCTGATGCATAAATTTGCATGTTACTGTTATAAATCACCTTACTCATTATATTCATTGTTATTAATCATAGGAGACATCACAACGGATAACATCAACTTTGCCTCTACTTTCAATAATCTTGATCTTAATGTTTTATCTTCAACTAAGGAAGAAATGGACGCTAAACAAGGTAATTTTAGCTATTTGTTACCAAATTTTTTTCTCTAGAACGTCACTGATAATTGCGATCTAACCAAAATAATAGAATACAGCAGATGTATTACCACGCAATGTGCAACAAGTGATTACCAATAAAAGATAGACCCATGACATTGTCTGCACGTATTTGACAGGGAACAAATTATATATCAGCGTCTTATCTCGATTCATTCAGTGAGTAGAGGACAGGGTCATTATAAAATAACCCTTCATCCGCGCCATTAGAAAGTTTAAACACCCAAAAACTTCCAACCATCCAAAAAATTTATTCAAAAACTAAAACACAAATCCCAAGCTTTCTTTTTGTCAACACCTCCGTCTCAGGCCTGCCAAAAACAGTCAGACAAGAACCGGGTAAAATTTACCCTCCTCCGCTCCATACAATTTGTGTCAACGACACTACGTTTCCAAATGGAATTTATTATGGCGGCATTCTCAACCTCAGATTGCTTCAAAACGAATCCACGTTTCAGGCGGAACTCGCCTACAAATCTATTACGGTGAGCCCTGTCCACCTCGGATTGCTTACGATTTCGGGCAGTGGTAAAGGTGGCAAGGGACTTGGGATTCAACCAGGTGGATAGGGTTGTTGTCCAACTTGACGCAGTAAAATTTACAATTACTATGGACATTGGGTTTGCATCAAAAAATGGCGAAGAAGAGCAAAAGCGGAAAGAAAGGTTACAAGAAATATCTTCTGCCATACAGGCAAGTCTCAAATGTTTGGTTTTCTTTTATGCATGCATGATGTTAATCTTTGCCCTTTAATGCACATCAGGAGGAGAAACAACAAAATCAATCGTCAACCGATGATTATGAGAGCGAATGGAACCAGAATCACCATAATATCCTCACGGGACGCTCTCTGTTACCTTTACACGATCAACTTTCCCCTCCCGAAGAAAAAAAAACCCCCCAAAACATCATACTTTACTGTCAATGGTACAGTATGAATGCATCGCGCAGACAATTTTCCTTGCAGAACTGCTTTGCATTAACTGTACACAAATGTCAAGGATTTCAATTTTTTGCCGTTGGACAAGCATATACTGCGTTAAGTCGTGCTCCATCTTGATAGACATTCCTTGCTTGAACAAAACTGCATTCTCTATTGACACCGCAGTCCTTAATGAATCGGCAAAAAGCTCCCTTTCTTTCTTTCTCCACAACATCAACCATCATAATGCAATATACGATCACTATTATATTATTCTTTTATCATGTCATCTTATAATTACTTTACAAAAAAAATTTTTTTTTATCAAGTCTGAATAAACCTATTCACAACTCGATAGATGATCATTGTAATCACATGTACTGTATCATATTAATATACATATTACTGTATTATAGTTATTGGGCGAAAAATAGAAACCTATCTCCCAATAAAATTCAATATACGCCTAGCAGCTAAACCCTTTCAAGCAAACTTTACCTTATTTAGAAAGTTGTCCAACCTATACCTATCTATCGTTATTAACTAAATAAGCATTAACTCACAGTATATTGTACGACGAACATGATTAATAATTCTTTCCTTTTAAAGACCAATATGTATCATACCTTTATGCTAAAATTGTATGCTAAAATTGTATGCTAAAATAAAGGTATTTCCATTTCTTATGTCTACAATAACTATCCCTCCCTTTCGTTCATATTCGTACATCTAAACTAGAATTATATTACTTCTTCCAATAACGTTTCTACAATAAATATTAATGACTCGGTAACTTGTATTATTTTTCGCTATCCTTTAAAGATCAATTTATATCGTACATCTATTCCAAAATTACAACTTTAGAATAAAAGTATCGACATTTCTTTTCCATTAACAGTTTTCCTATTATACATTATTTCCACAATAACAATTACGGAACTGAGAATGATACAAGATAAGAATATACATACTAGAAATTTGTTTAGTGAATGTAGATTGGAACAAAATAATTTCTCTCTTTCGGTAACTTATATTACATCCCTCCACACCAGTTTACATCATAAATTTCAACAGATTTCTTATTCTACAGCAAACATTCTTTTCTTCCGATAACTTACATTACTTCTCTCCATCCCATTAAAGAGTTACATATATCTAAAATAGAAGTATTAACATTTCTTTTTCCATTCCGTTTTATATCATTCTACAATAAACATTAAAGAATTCCCTT